ACCAACACTCACACCGCACCACCACCACCACCACACCCCTCTCACACCACCACCACCACACCCATCACAACCTGGCCACGCCAACCCTCCGCCTCCAGAGTGGACGCGAACCTCCTCCTCCCCCCTCCCTCCCTCTCTCCCCTCCCTCTCTATTTTTTCTCACGAATTTGCGTGTCATCCTTTCGCAGGGGCCATGCTAATCCTCTCTGTATCGTCCCAATCTTAGTGTCTGTACTGCCGGAGCAAGTACTTCTCTCTCTCTCTCCGCTCCCTCTCTCTCTCTCTCAGCCACGGTGCCGGCGTCTGTCTCGAGAACGAACACATTTCAGTGTCTCCCTCTTCACAGCCAGTGGGACGCTGCTGCTGTTGTTGCTGCTGCTGTTGTTGTTTCTGCTGCTGTTGTTGTTGTTGTTGTTGCTGCTGTTCCCAACAGCGCGCGGCGAGGCGGGCGGGGGTCTCGTTGTTGTCGTTGCTGCTGCTGCTGTTGTTGTTGACGGTGGTGGTCGCGGTCGTGAGAGTCGGGGCACAGTTTCGACTCCTGCAGCACGGCTGGACGTGCGTGGGGGTTGCTGGCTGGAGGATGATGCAATGAGGAGGAGGAGGGCTGCGTTGATCTTCATTCCTCGCGGTGTGTGTGGGGGCTTGGGGGGGGAGCGTGGGTTAGGGGGGGGAGGCAGGGGTTGACCACAACCTGGAGACGGTCACCCCCCCCCCCCACCACCAGCTCAGAGACGCGGCCAGTGCGGCAGCGGCGTGCGCGTGGAGGCGGCCGTGGGGACCACGTGCGGCTCACGGGGAGGGCTCCCGGCCGAGTACCGGCGGCAGGATCACAGTTCACAGACGGCAGCAGCAGCAGCAGTAGAAGCAGCATGGGGTTAGTTGCCGTTGGCGGCTGAGGGTTAAACGTGGAGAGAGAGAGAGAGAGAGAAACGCACAGAGCCAGAGAAGACAAACAAGGACACGAGGTTGTTAGTCGGTAGTGACCGCCTCGCTGGCTGTCGGTCATCGATGGATGCGGCCCCGAAACGTCGGGATGTTAGAGGTGCGAGGGTTATAGGATGGCTGAGAAGACCGCCGCCCCAACCTTGCTCAAGGGACCCCCCCTTGGCTTCTGCTGCTATGAATTCCCACGTGTGATGATGATGATGCTATCAGCCACGGCGATGATGAGCTTTCATCACGTGTGGCCAGGTGGCCAGTAGCTGAGTGGGCTTTACCTGCTGAATGAAATAGTTGAGTTTCGTTTGTGTCAATTCTGATCGCGCAAATGTAAGCGATGGGGCGCCCCGACCGTGACCCATTGACTCATAGACACACGGGGCGAGAGCTCAGGCACGGGTCCTCGTATGGGGCACGGGGTGAGAGCTCAGGCACCGGTGCTAGAATGGGGCACGGGGCGAGAGCTCAGGCACGGGTCCTAGAATGGGGCACGGGGTGAGCGCTCAGGCACGGGTCCTCGTATGGGGCACGGGACGAGAGCTCAGGCACGGGTCCTCGTATGGGGCGCGGGGTGAGAGCTCAGGCACGGGTCCTCGTATGGGGCGCGGGGTGTTAACGGCTCGATCGCCGTCACGAACACGTGGATGAACCAGGGGGCAGCAGCAGCAGTAGCAGCAGCAGCAGTAGCAGCAGTAGCAGCAGCAGTAGCAGCAGCAGTATCAGCTAGGGAGAGAGAGATGAAGCAAAGACGCGCCACGTGCCGACGGTCAGCAGCAGCATCATGGAAGAAGCAGCAGCAGCATGGGAGCAGCAGCAGCAGCATGGGAGCAGCAGCATCGGGAGAAGCAGCAGCAGCATGGGAGAAGCAGCAGCAGCATGGGAGAAGCAGCAGCAGCATGGGAGAAGCAGCAGCAGCAACACGGCATGGGAGCAGCAGCAGCAGTATCGGGAGAAGCATGGGAGCAACAGCAGCAGTATCGGGAGAAGCAGCAGCAGCAGCATCGTGAGCAGCATGTGAGAAGCAGCAGCAGCAGTAGCAGCATCGGGAGAAGCATGTGAGAAGCAGCAGGGCGGTGCGTCTGGTTGTGCGGAGGGGCAGTGTCGGCTCGATGCTCAGAGCCACGCGGGCGAGCGAGGTCACGGGAAAGGTCACGGGGAAGGTCACGGGGAAGGTCACGGAGCTCGGAGGTGTCCCAGCCTCCCCCCGACCCCCTCACCGCCCGCCCCTCTGCTGCGTGTGACTCTCCGTCTGTGAGTCTGTGTGCTGGTGAGGGGCGGTATGGGGAGCGGTGGTGCAGCGGATTGCGCGCCAGCACCACCGACGGAATTTTTTAACCGGTCCTGGGTCTCCCCCTAGGTCTACTCGGCCTCAAATGCCAAAAGGCGGCCAGTCTACATCGGTGCTCGCAAACACCACTTGCATCGCCGATATGTTAAGGCCATACGCGCGATTATTTGCTATACATCTGATGCCTCGTAGCGCGTCCGCCGCTTGTTGCAGAGACCGGCGGGTCGAATCAGGCGGACCGCCCTGGTAACCACGGCGGTGTGCGGTACATTAACACCGCTCGCTACGCGCCGTCGGCTCCACTCACTCGGCGGACCGTTCAACATGCAGGTGCCGTGATTCGCGAGCCTGGACCACGGTGTCCAACATTTGTAAAAACTGTTGTCACATTACTCGGCTGGCACGAGTGGCGGATCGCAATCATTGGCCCCTGGGTTGCCGTGAACTCGTGACAGGGACCCTCGTAAGCAAAGAATGCCGTGGACTGGAGGAGGCCCTCTGGGGTAACGAAGCGAAGGAATGACGAGGAGAGAACAGAATATTTCGTCTCTCTCGCGGACAGCCCACGGCTCGTGCGGAGCCAGTGGACGGGATGAGGAGGGGGGTCACTGTGCGGGCAAGCCCCCCCACCCCCCCCCACCACCCCCCAAACCCCCCGTGACAGCTCTGCCTGCCCTGGAATCTGCCAAGAGCAGACGCTGCATGAAATGTATTGATGTGTTAATGTTTGTAAGTTTACACAAACATTACATGGAGACAGAGACGGGGGTGACCCCTCCCCCCTTAATGAGACCACGTGGCATCGATAGCGCGGGGAGGGGGGGCGGGAGGGGACAACGGAGGTAAGAATGACATCTTTAAACAAAAACAAAAAAAAATGATAAAAAACACGAAAGTTATCGTAGTTACGCTATGGGAACTTTTATTTTTAAATGAAAACAAAAATTCTGTTTCAAAATGACTCGAGACCTCGGTGCGATATAATGACCACACCGCTGGGACCTCCACCAGCCGGGGGGCATCCCCCTGCAACCTCCACCATCACCACACATCACCCACCATCACCCACCACCACTACCATCACCACCATCATTATCGCCTATCACCCATCACCCATCACCGGCGCCTACAGCAGGGCCAGGGCCTCTCGAGTAGGGGGACAGGCAGGCAGGCAGGGCAGGCGAACGGGTGAGTGCGGGTGGGTGAGTTGGTGAGCTGGTGGTCGAGTGAGTGCGTGAGCAGCTTGCCGAGTGAGTGAGTGAGTGGGTGAGCGTGTGGGTAGGGGTATTGGCGGGTGAGTGGGTGGATGAGTGCGTTGGTGGGTCAGCAGTTTGGTGAGTGGATAGAGGGGTAGGTGAGTGAGCGCGTGGGTGAGTGTCTGATTGGGTTGGTGGGTGAGCGGGTGAGTGAGTGGATAGAGGGGTAGGTGAGTGAGCGGGTAGGTGAGTGGCTGAGTGAGTGGGTTCGTACGTCTGCGGGTGAGTGAGTGGATGGATGGGTAGGTGGGTGAGTGGGTGGGTGGGTCGGCGGGTGAGTGAGTGGATAGAGGGGTAGGTGAGTGAGCGGGTAGGTGAGTGAGCGGGTAGGTGAGTGAGCGGGTAGGTGAGTGGCTGAGTGAGTGGATTCGTACGTCTGCGGGTGAGTGAGTGGATGGATGGGTAGGTGGGTGAGTGGGTGGGTGGGTCGGCGGGTGAGTGAGTGGATAGAGGGGTAGGTGAGTGAGCGGGTAGGTGAGTGAGCGGGTAGGTGAGTGAGCGGGTAGGTGAGTGGCTGAGTGAGTGGATTCGTACGTCTGCGGGTGAGTGAGTGGATGGATGGGTAGGTGGGTGAGCGGGTGGGTGAGTGGCTGAGTGAGTGGGTTCGTACGTCTGCGGGTGAGTGAGTGGATGGATGGGTAGATGGGTGAGCGGGTGGGTGAGCGGGTGGGTGGGTCGGCGGGTGGAGGAGCAATGTGTCATTCACGCACATGACAGTGAACACACAGTATAACACGATGTGTGAAATATAGAATCATCTCTCTGTATCTGCAGTTCGCTCGGCAATAATAACAACAACACAAAACAACAACAACAAGAATAATACTCATCAGCTCCTGGCTTCGAGACCAATAGTATCGACCAGCATCTGTTTCAACCAAACAATCATCTGCACCGATTTCATCAGCGGGAGTTGGGAGCTCCTCTGACACGAGCCAATGGGTCCCCTTGCCACGGCTCGCGGACACAAACGCTGCCGGATATTATCGGCACGGGGCAGCTGATGGACTAACACGCTCGACTCCGCTATCTCTAGGTCTGCCCACGGGCGCGCAGAACGATCCTGCGCGTACCGCGATCGTAGCCAGCATAATGCAACTATCCCGCAACAGTGACAACGACTCGGCCTCGTCTCTGCGACGGGCCGCTGTTTCTCAGTAGTCGTAGCATCGGAGGCAACCACAACAACAACAACAACAACCGAGGCGAAGCTCACAACAACGAGCGGAGCGCACCGGGTGGATAAAAGCGCAGCGGGCGGTACAGTGGAGGGGAAGGAAGCGCCTCTCAGGCAATGAAGGCATCGAGTGTCCAGTCACCATTCTCTCTCTACTGCTACGGTTACATTCACGCCATCGGATACAGGACAAGGGCCGCAACGGAGTGATAAGGCAGCTGTAGCCAGGCACAGTGACGAAGACGTCGACACGAGCGTCAGCAGGTGTCTTCACATGGAAGATATCGCACACAGTGGCGGGGGGAGAGGGGGGGCAGTCAATGGGATGGAGGCAAGGGTATAGGATGAGAGGTTGGTACTTGTGAGATGGTGAGAGGTTGGTACTCGGGAGGTGATGAGAAGTTGGTACTCTGGAGGTGATGACAAGTTGGTACTCGGGAGATGATGAGAAGTTGGTACTCGGGAGGTGATGACAAGTTGGTACTCGGGAGATGATGAGAAGTTGGTACTCGGGAGGTGATGACAAGTTGGCACTCGGGAGGTGATGACAAGTTGGTACTCGGGAGGTGATGAGAAGTTGGTACTCGGGAGGTGATGAGAAGTTGGTACTCGGGAGGTGATGACAAGTTGGCACTCGGGAGGTGATGAGAAGTTGGTACTCGGGAGATGATGAGAAGTTGGTACTCGGGAGGTGATGAGAAGTTGGTACTCGGGAGATGATGAGAAGTTGGCCCTCGGGAGGTGATGACAAGTTGGTACTCGGGAGGTGATGAGAAGTTGGTACTCGGGAGATGATGAGAAGTTGGTACTCGGGAGATGATGAGAAGTTGGTACTCGGGAGGTGATGACAAGTTGGTACTCGGGAGATGATGAGAAGTTGGTACTCGGGAGATGATGACAAGTTGGTACTCGGGAGATGATGAGAAGTTGGTACTCGGGAGGTGATGACAAGTTGGTACTCGGGAGATGATGACAAGTTGGTACTCGGGAGGTGATGACAAGTTGGTACTCGGGAGGTGATGAGAGGTTGGTACTCGGGAGATGATGACAAGTTGGTACTCGGGAGATGATGAGAAGTTGGTACTCGGGAGGTGATGACAAGTTGGTACTCGGGAGGTGATGAGAGGTTGGTACTCGGGAGATGATGACAAGTTGGTACTCGGGAGATGATGACAAGTTGGTACTCGGGAGGTGATGAGAAGTTGGTACTCGGGAGGTGATGACAAGTTGGTACTCGGGAGATGATGAGAGGTTGGTACTCGGGAGGTGAGAAGTTGGTACTCGGGAGATGATGAGAAGTTGGTACTTGGGAGGTGATGACAGGTTGGGACTCGGGAGGTGATGAGAGGTGCAATGATGAACGCTCGACTGCGGCAAGTGCGACACATGCAGTGAGCTCGCGCGCAGGCGAGAATGGATGAACAACCAGCCTGTGGATCACGTCAATTGGCGTTTCATCCCGAGAGAGATTCCCACGAACACACGAAGGCAGCGATCCCCCGTATCGCCTTAATCGGCGGTAGGGGGGGGGGCGAGGCAAGTGCTGTTCACGAGTAGCAACACCTGTGAAGGCCGGCACGGCACACGAGGGGGTGGGTGGCCAGCACCACGCACGCGCACAGACACACACGTGTGTCTGTGCAATAGGTGCTCGCTAACAGCACTTGCCCCAACAATACGAAGGCTATACTGGGGGGGATCTTTGTGTAAAATGCCACGCGCCTGTGGGGGCGCCATTTGATCCACGGCCAATGTGGAATCCACGCTGGTCAAACGCGCGATCGTGAATCGGGGAACATTTGAAGAAAGGAAAAAGGAAAAGTTGTCCGCTGTCGGAAATAATTGTTTGGGTAAAATCTCCGCGACGCCGATACGTGTAAGATCTGACGAAGGGAGGGCGCCTCAAGTGGCAAGTCAGGCGAGGCTTACACCAGAGGTCGCAACCGGGTACCCGATACCCGTACCCTACCCGATACGCGGCTACCCGTACCCGGCCAGGCACGGGTACGGGTAGCCGTTTGCGACCCTGGTGCGGCCGGGTACGGGTACGGGTAGGCCGTGAGTCACTGGTGAGTAACCGTTTGTCACTCATTTCGGGTAGGGTACGGGTAGGGAACGGGTACTCATACCCGGCCGGGTACGGGTACGGGTACCCATTTGCGACCCTGGTGCGGCCGGGTACGGGTAAGGAATCAAAACCCGTTTGCGACCTCTGGCTTACACCGGGAGGGGGGGGGGGGGTCCCGAGTGGAGTTTGTAATCGACACCAGAGGGCGCCGATGTCACAACGAAGCGAACCTCATTCTTTCGCGCGGCGCTTGATGCGCGGAGATGCAGAGCGCCAACTGCCCTGCCACGTCCAGGGGGTCAAGCTCAGACAGCCGCGTCAGGAGTAGCGGAGTGGTTCATCGTCGTGATGTCTGCTTCGTGTTTGTGGATCGGGGGCATTGCGCCGTTACGCGTTGTACGAGCCACTCCTCGGTGGGCACAGTCGTAACGCTGCTACTGGAGGGTGAGCATCTACATCATTAGACCTCCTTTGCCAGTACCAAAATATAATCATAGGGGTTTCCCCCCCCCCCCCTTTTATCTGGCAACAAAACTGAAAACCCGTGTGCATTAACCACAATACTTGAACACAAGTATTGTGGTTAATGCAGACACATGATTCCTCGTAAAAAGGTTTCAGTTTTTTTGCCAGGAAAAAGGGGAAAAACCCGATGATTATATTTTGGTACTGGCAAAGGAGGTCCCATGATGTAGATGCTTACCCCGAGCTCTCATTGCTTTGATAGTGCATTGTCTTTGAGCTGTGTACGAATTTTGGCGTCCTCTGGTCTAGCACCGATTGAGACGAGGCTGAAAAGAAAGCCGTCTCTGGTGTGGACCAATCAGTTTCAAGGACAATGCATTTATTATCAGAGTGTGTTTTTTGCTTGCATTTTGACCACAAGCATTGTGGTTAATGCAGACGTGATTCCTTGTAAAAAGGTTTCAGTTTTGTTGCCAGAAAAAATGGGGAAAACCCAATTATTATTATTCTACTGGAGGGTTTTTAATGCTCCAATCTGCGACTGAGACCTTTACAGACCACGAGATACACTCATCGCTGTCAAGAGCCGGCTTCGGCTCGTAGCCACTCACGCTACCTCTCTGCCCTCTCTCTCTCTCCATGTGCTGTGAAGAAGGCCCATGTCCCGAAACGTCGCCTATTATATAATTTGTATATTTGTTTAAGGCCACGTACAGTGAGTGATATTAACGAATGTGTGTACACATATATACAGACACACACACGCGCACGTGTCAATAAAACTACGGCGTTAAAATCTCCCTTAATTTGCCTGAATACCGAAACCCATTTCTTCAGGATGCGGTGGTGCTGCTAGAAAGTTAAAGGCGCAGCCGTGAAAGTGCTCACTCGCGACACTGCTGGCGGACACTGCCTCCACTGGAGGGAGCTCTAAAGCGCTGCCTCTAGAGAAGCCCCCTTCTAAAGAGCCCCTCTCTAGAGAGCCCCCCTTTAGAGAGAGCCCCCCTGGGGGGGGGTAATTGGCCTACTCTTCCACGCTGTGCTAGACGATGTCTTGAAGGAGGTGGGAGTGGCCGCACTTCTCCCCACCACACAGAATCCCTGCCGGCTTCACCGCGGCGGCGGTGACCATTTACATCAGAATCGTTATTTCGACTGCCAGAATCCGATGAGCTATGAAGCTCGTGTTTCCACGGATGGGACATTTCATTTCTAAGAGAAATCTGTGCCACCAAATCGTTTCGGCCGCCGCACCAAGGGAGATGGGAATCGAACCTCTGGATCGCAAGTCCACGGTGCGATCCCCAGTAACACCACGGCGGTGGTGTGTGGAGGTGTGAACGAGTTTTAAGAAAAAAACAAATCCTGACATTCCTGGGAGCTGCCAAGTGAACGAAACGCCAAGTGAACGAACACCAAGTGAACGAAACGCCACGTGAATGAAACACCAAGTGAATGGAACACCAAGTGAATGAACGCGTCGACTTGTAAGACAGAGATGGTGGTGGGGGGCTGGGTGGTTTGGGGGGGGGGGGCTGGGGGGGGGCATGCACTGAGTCCAGTGAGGGGGGGGGGGGTCACAACACGTGACAAGCGACAAGGACGCACGTGCTCATGCACCACTGACCTCGGTCTGCGGCCACAATCCTCTGGTAAGGATGGACCCGCAGGTCGTGGTGCCTTCGCAGTTTACTCGCCACGGCTCCTGCGGCGTACGCCAACCACCACCACCACCACCACCACGCAGCAGCAACAACAACAACAACCACCACCACCACCAAGCACGGTTAGCGAACAGGGTCCAGTCACAACTGGGCTTGGATGGCTCGCAACACACACACTCACATACACTCACACACACTCACTCGCACACACTCACACACACGCACACACTCACATACTCGCACGCACACACACTCACATACTCACTCACACACACTCACTCACTCACACACACACACTCACACACTCACATACACTCACACACACACACTCGCACACACTCACACGCGCACACTCACTCACACACACGCAAATACACACTCACTCACACGCACACACACTCACTCACACACTCGCACACAGAGACAAAGATCCCACCGCGTCAGCCTTAACAGGCTGTGGGGGCAAGCCCTGTTAGCGAGTGGCACCTTCATTGTTGTTGACACACAAAGCAAAGACGCGAGCACTGAGAGCTCGAGTTAGTGGGTGGTAGTGGGTGGTAGTGGGTGGGTGGTAGAGGGTAAGCTAAGAGAGGGGGGACATGAGCACAGTTTGGATTGGTGAGTTAGTTCAGTCTGTGGCTGGGACACAACGCGCACACAACACACGAGTACCGAGCCGGTCACAGCAACGTGGCCTTGCAGCTGGTAGTGGGGAGGGTTGGGGAGTTAGTGGGGAGGGTGGGTGGGGGGGCAGAGAGGTAGTGGGGGGGGGGTAGAGACGTGAGCACGAGTTGGTTAGAGACGCACACACAACGTAGCCGGCTCACGCGAGGGGGCCGTGGGGCCGAGCTGTACCACCTCGAGTGTGAAGGTGACAGAGAGGAGGAATCTGCCGCGTGCAGAACCCCTGGGCAGGTCTCAACACACGCGCGTGCACGTGCGCGCGTGCGTGTTGGGGGAGCGGTGGTGCAGCGGTTAGCGCGCTGTGCTACGAAACCGTGCGACCCGAGTTCGATTCCCGCTCAGGGCCAACGCCAGTGACGATTATCTGAACCGGTCCTGGGCCTCCCCGAGGTCTTAACAGACTGTTGGGGAAAGTGCTGTTAGCGAGCACCTATGAAGGCCGGCACGGCACACGAGGGGGCGGGTTGTCAACACCGCGCCTGGCCGCCTTTGTCTCCCGTTTGGCGATGTTTACTCATCGCACTAGGTACTCATTTACGGCTGAGTCGACCTAAGGGAGGCCCAGGACCCGTTCAGACAATCGTCACTGGAAGTCGGTTGCCGTGAGCGGGAATCAAACTTGGGTCGCCGGGTTTCTTAGCGCAGTGCAGTGACCGCTACGCCCCCGCCTACCCATAGGTACACACACATAGGTACACACACATCGGTACACACACATAGGTACACACACATCGGTACACACACATAGATATACACACATAGGTATACACACATACGTACACACGCACGTGTACACCTGGGGGTGGGTATGGAGTGGTGTGGCTATCAGGCGCCGTGCCACTCTCCCTGGACACGGGGGAGGATCGGGGGCCAAGTTGGGAGGCTGGCGGGGATTCTGTTTCGTGTCATCGTGTCGTCTGCCCCCCACCACAAGTTACCATCCTCCCGCAGCTCGAGATCCCCCGCCCGCCCCCACCGAACGCCCCCACCGAACGCGACCGACGCATAGAGGGGGAGCACGTGGGAAGCACGTGTGGAGCACGTGGGAAGCACGTGTGGAGCACGTGGGGAGCACGTGGGGAGCACGTGGGAAGCACGTGGTGATCACGAGGGGAGCACGTGGGGAGCACGTGGGAAGCACGTGGTGAGCACGTGGGGAGCACGTGGTGAGCACGTTGGAAAGCACGTGGTGATCACGTGGGGATCACGTGGGGAGCACGTGGGAAGCACGTGGGGAGCACGTGGGAAGCACGTGGTGATCACGTGGGAAGCACGTGGTGAGCACGTGGGGAGCACGTGGTGAGCACGTTGGAAAGCACGTGGTGATCACGTGGGGATCACGTGGGGAGCACGTGGGAAGCACGTGGGGAGCACGCGGGAAGCACGTGGTGATCACGTGGGGAGCACGTGGTGAGCACGTGGGAAGCACGTTGGGAATCACGTGGGAAGCACGTGCACGTGGGGAGCACGTGGGAAGCACGTGGTGAGCACGTGGGGAGCACGTGGGGAGCACGTGGTGAGCACGTGGGAAGCACGCGTCTGTACCGTGCGAATCGAGATGCAGGGGATGAGCATGAGAAGAAAGGGAGGGGGGCTCCAAGTGTGGAGAGTGGGGGGCAAACAATACACTTAGCCCCCCCCCCCCCCCACAGCGAGCTAACTATACCTCTAAAAAGGGGGGAGGGGGTGTAAAAGCCAATTCACTCAATATGCGTTATTAAACGTATGTTTCTAATATCGTTATTATTGGGCTACTAACTTCTCGTGTTAACACGACTCCGCTATTCAACCGAACGTGGAATGTACTCGAGATGGCTCGCGATAAAAACAAAACAGCGCCGTTTGTGCGTGACAGACAGAGAGAGAGAGAGAGCCGCTGTGGCCGAGGTGGTGGTGGGGACATCCCACACACTCTGGGACTCAACCATGGACTGGCATTCTCCACACAGCTCCCCGTGTCAGCTACAGCCCCTCCACACAGCTACACTCAGCCTCCCCGTGTCCCCTGGGCTACAGCTCTTCCACACAGCTACACTCAGACTCCCCGTGTCAGCTACAGCTCCTCCACACAGCTACACTCAGACTCCCCGTGTCAGCTACAGCTCCTCCACACAGCTACACTCAGACTCCCCGTGTCAGCTACAGCTCCTCCACACAGCTACACTCAGCCTCCCCGTGTCAGCTACAGCTCCTCCACACAGCTACACTCAGCCTCCCTGTGTCCCCTGGGCTACAGCAAATCCACCAGAATTGGTGACTTTTTCCTTCCTATTTTACATCTGCGGCGTCGACTTCGCCCCAAATCCTTATCCAACACCACCCCCCCCACACACTACCCCCACTACCCCCCCCCACACTAACCCCCCCCACACTACCCCCCCCCCACACTAACCCCCCCCACACTACCCCCTAACACTCATGCTCCCCCACCCCCCTCCCCCCCCTGGTAGCGCCGTCCGTGAATCAGCGCGTTCTGCTCCGACACAGCTGTGCATGTTACTAGCGTCCCGTCACACGGCCCGGCGGGGGCTCCCGTATTTACACGCGTGGAGACCTGGGGGGGGAGGGCGACATGGGGGGGGGGGGGGGGTGGGGAGGGAGGGAGTTGCGTGCGTATCCCGGGCTCGGCTCGGCGTGACGCGGGGTCGCACACAGAGCCCCCACCACCAACCCCCCCCACCCCGGCACGAGGCTGGCTGGGTTTGGGGGGGGGTCAGGGTCAGGGTCAGGGCCCGTGATGTCCACGTCGGGCTAGCAAGAGAGTGCTGGCGATGGTGTTGTATGGGCTGGTGACGGGGCGAGTGATATGAATAGGGCGAGTTTGATAGCGCCAGCGATATGAATATGGCCAGCGGCGTGGCTGGTGATATGGACAGGGCCAGTGCTAGCGTGCCGGCGTTGGTGACGGGGCGAATCTCGGTGCTAACCACGACGATGCCGCTCAGTACCCTTTGAGCTCGCGATACGGGCCGGTGCCCTGTAGCAGGCAGCGTGGACAGTGCTGCTGGTGCTAGTGGTAGAGACAAGGCCCGGAGCGCCAGCCGACGGCGGACGAATTGGCCGCAAACCCTGGACCCGACCGCGGTTCACTGCGAACTCTCAAGAGATGAGAAGTCTCACAGCAGAAGGCCACCACGAGCCCCCCCCCCCCCCCACCTCGTCATCCACCTCATCGTGCCTGGCACCGCTGCACGCGAGCCAGACTCGTGCCGGAGGACCTGGGCCGATCTCCCTCGGCCTGCCCCAGTGACCCCCCCTGACCACCACCACCACCACCAGGGCCCCCATCGCCTCCCTCTCAAACCGCCCACCCTCCCCGACACCTCGCCCACGCTCCATGCAGCCATGGTGCAGCTCCGAGCTCCAACTCCCACCTCCAGGGCTCCGCTGGCGCCGCCACCACCGCGGCGGAGGAGGAGGAAGAGGAGGAGGAGGAGGAGGGACGTGGGTGGCGGAGTTGATTTGGTGGAGAAAGGGGAGAGGAGGGGGGTAGGGGGGGGTAGGGGGGGGTGCGGTGAGACCCCCACTTCACACAGTGACCACGACTACCGGAGACCGACTACCTCCGTCTACGCGCACGAGTTGGTCCCCTTAGCGACGTCAAACAAACAACAACAACAACAACAACAACCGGCGGCGGCGGCGATAACAGTGACCACAACAACAACGGCAACAACAACAACAATAGCGGTGATCACCTCGCGTGCTACATCAGCCTCGACTGAAGCCGACTTCGTCTGGGGCTACAGTGGGTGCTGGGGTGGGGGGTGGGTGATTGCGGGGTGGATGATGTGGGGGGTGGGGGGGTGGGTGAATAGGGTGGGGAGAAGGTCACAGACCCGGCCATCCCCGGGTCAGCCAGGGGTCACCCATGCAGGGTGGAGGAGGAGGAGGAGGAGGAGGGGAGGAGGAGAATGGGGGGTGGGTGGGGGATGCGATGGGCCCTCGCTCCGCACTCTCCCTCTCCGCGATGCCGCCGGGTGGGATCAGGAGGGCCATGTCCGCCCCCCCCCCTCCTCCTCCTCCTCCCCCTGGCGCCGCTAGAACGCGTGGGAACGACAGACACGGCGGGTGGCCGGGCAGCAGCAGCAGCAGCAGCGGGGGTCTCGGCACGCGCGTGGGCCCCGTGCCACCCGCTCTCTTAGCCCTTCATGGGGAAGGCGACGCCTGCGGGGGGAGGAGACGGGACACACGGCGCCAGCGCGGTGAGCTCCACGCCCGCTACCTACTACCCCGACGACAATTTTCCACTGGTCTATCCGACCCGAGCCAGAATTCGGCGCGGCTCGGGAAGATTGTGGGGGGGGTTTCCACAGCAGAAGCCGAGCCGTGCCCGCTGACGTCACGCCGAACGAACGATTCCGTTGGTCATCTTAAAACTAAACTGAAACGAAACCGTGTTTATGTTGCCAAGTGAGGCTCACTAAGCTTAATTCTAGATTTGAAGCTTTCGTGACTGCAAGGATTCATACTCTTAGTTCTTTCGGTAAAGTCACGTAGGTAAAAAATGAAATTAATACAAATAAAAATAAAATAAAAATCACGACGTTTCGGAGGCAACACAAGTCTCCGTCATCAGGTGGGACCGTCACAGCCAGATTTGCTGCATCAAGTGAGGCAGGGATTCCAAGATGCAAGTTCTTAAATACAAGTTAAGGGGGAGGAGAGGGGGGGGGGAGCTTATCAGAATGTGGTAGCCAATGAATGGAACGTATCGGGAGGCGGGGGGGGGGGGGGCTAAAAGAGGGCACGAGAGTATGCTCACGAAGCTATATAGTTTATTTTCCAGAACAAAGCTAGCCACAAATGCCGTGCTCAACGAAGTGGGTTATCACGTGGGAATTTATAGCAGCCAAATACTGTGAACGCGTGACGTTGATTCTAAGTGTGGAGGGAAAAACCGGATGAAAAAAAAATCCACGCGACCACGTCGAGATCTCCAAATATACAGCAGGCGCCAGGGTCGGGATCGAACCCACGAACTTGTGACCAGGATACCAGCATCATCAGGCGACAAATCTGTCCGGTTGTAGTTACTGGCAAAACGTCAAAGTACTCGAATTGTAAATGTTGTGGGTTCACTCTCCAACACACCGGGGTGCTGAATTAGTAATGCATTGGCGTGTTTTTGTTTACGTGACAACATTTACTAATGGCTGTGTCGGGTGGTGGCGGGTTTAACGACATATTTATACTAATAGGGGGTTTCCTCTTTTTTCTGGCAACACAACTGACACCTTTTGCAAGGAATCATACTTAAATTAACCACAATACTTGCAGTCAAATGCCAACAAAAACAATACTCTGATAATTTATGCTTTATCAAATTATCAGAGTATTATTTTTTGTTTGCATTTGACTGCAAGTATTGTGGTTAATGTAAGTATGATTCCTTGCAAAAGGTGTCAGTTTTGTTGCCAGAAAAAAGGGGAAAAACCCTATTAGTATATTTTGGTACTGGAAAAGGAGGTCCCATGATGACATATTTATATTTACGCTATTACTGTATGTATATGTGGAGTTTGCGTGTCTCTCCCCCAGTGGTCGCGTGGATTTTTCTCCAGGTCCTCCGGTTTTCCATCCACATTTAGAATCAGCATCACGCGTTTAGAGCATGTGACCGCTACACATCTCCACGTGATAAGCCACATGTGTGGTCAGATCGCTTCTGAAAAAGAGAGCCACAAACACAACTCAGTGATCCTTACTTGGTAAGATAATTAATCTGCTGTTGTCATAGTTTCGTTTCAGTAGCTGGTCACTGCCATTGTACACGACATCTCAGCAAACGGCACCCCGCTCTGGATCGCCACATCGGTCGTGAAAACCCAAGCGTAACGTTCCACGTTTTAGCACAGAAGTCCATGGACTCTCCACCAAAGCATTGGACGCGTTTGCGTGATAACAACCCCCGCGTCTGCACAACTTTGGCCCGCTTTGGTAGAGACATCGCGCAAACCTTGCGACCAGGACACGAAGTTGACAACCCTCCTAGACTCTGAGTGGTGGGAGGAGGGGGGGGGGGGGAAGAAACTCGCAGCAGACAGAGGTTACTGTGTTTCTGTGTCCCCCGATGTCTGTGTTTCCACTCGGCGCGCGACGATTCACGATTCGTAATCGGGGTGCGACGCTTTGGTCGATTCCGAGGGGAGGGGATATTCTTGAGGGCGGAATGAATCAATGATCGATCGATTAATCGATACAATTATGTCTGCGACTGTTGATGAACTTGGGCTCAAGCTCATTGATCTCTGTTCGTGTTCCTGATAAAATCAACCAAAACTAATTCCGCCTGCAGATAAAGACGAATTGAGATGGATGCGCGTTTACTCCTGAAGTCTAAATTCAGATTCTGATTGATAAATATTCTCATCATCAAGCTACACAGTCCATCAATTCTATCGCGCTGTATAGCTTCACATAACTCGAGATTGTATCGATTAACGCCACTTAGCCGATGTAAATTCGCACCGCTACACATCCCTTTCATGCTCGATGTTGTATTCGCACCACCGTGTGTACGAGGCTACACGCGTGGATGTAACCACCGCCAATTATGAAGATTTACATTTCACAGAATCGCACCGCTACAGATGTTGCGCGCTGCTACCGCCCGCAGGGTCTACGGAGTCTACGGAGTAGCAGAGTCTGCGCGTGTGACGGTAGCACCCAGAGGCATCTCCAATCGATGAACTCACAAGGGGCCTCGTTCCTCCTCCTGGGCATCGCACTGTGGAGGGAGCGTGAACAGCGCCCCGTTCCCTGGGCATCTCTCGCCTGCCGCCCTGATCGTGAATCGGCACCGCGCGTCTGTGTGTGTGTGTCTGTGTGTGCGTGCGTGTCTGTGTGTGTGTGTGTGTGCGTGTCTGTGTGTGTGTGCGTGTCTGTGTGTGTGCGTGTCTGTGTGTGTGCGTGTCTGTGTGTGCGTGTCTGTGTGTGTGTGCGCGTCTGTGTGTGTGTGCGCATCTGTGTGTGCGTCTGTGTGTGTGTCTGTGTGTGCGTGTCTGTGTGTGTGTGCGCGTCTGTGTGTGTGCGTGTCTCTGTGTGTGTGCGTGGCTGTGTGTGTGTGTCTGTGTGTGTGCGTGTCTCTGTGTGTGCGTGTCTGTGTGTGCGTGTCTGTGTGTGTGTCTGTGTGTGCGTCTGTGTGTGCACGTCTGTGTGTGTGTCCAGGTATCTGTGTGCGTGTGTATCTTTGCGCGTCTGTGTGTTCAGGCGTCTGTGTGTGTGTGTGTCCACACATCTGTGTGTGTGTGTGTCATAAGTTGGCACAGTAGGGGGCACAGGTGGTGCATCTGGCAGTCATCTCAGTCATCTCAGTCAGTCAACCCACGGCACCTGGGTCTGTCCCGTGACCTCCTGCCAGTGGGCGTTCGACACTCCATGTGGCCTTATAGTGCACGTAGCCTGGCACAAGCGCTTTGGTGACGGGACCGCCACTGAGCGGTGAATGGCGGTTGTTGTTATTGTTGTCCATAAGGTGCTCGCTTACAGCATTTGCCCCATCATTCTGTTCAGGGTGTGTGTGTGTGTCCATGCGTCTGTGTGTGTGTCTTTGTGTGTCCGTGTGAGGAGCGGTGGTGTAGCGGTTAGCACGCTGCGCTATGAATCTCGCTCACGAGCAACATTAGTGACGATTTTCTGAGCCGGTCCTGGACCTCCCCTAGGTCGACTCAGCCTAAAATGAGTACCTTTTGTGGAGTGTAAGCATCGCCACTGGAGAGTAGTGCTGGCCACCCACCCCCTCGTGTGCGCTGCTGGCCTTCATAGGTGCTTGCTTACAGCACTTGCCCCACCAGTCTGTGAAGGCTACACGGGGGGATCTTTGTCTTTGCCTTTTGTCCGTGTGTGTGCCCACGCGTCTGTGTGTGTGTCTGTGTGTGTGTGTGTCTGTGTGTGTGTGTGTCTGTGTGTGTGTCTGTGTGTGTGTGTATGTCTGTCTGTGTGTGTGTCTGTGTGTGTGTGTCTGTGTGTATGTGTATGTGTGTGTCTGTGTGTCTGTGTGTCTGTGTGTGTGTCTGTATGTGTGTGTCTGTGTGTCTGTGTGTCTGTGTGTCTGTGTGTGTGTGGACACCTGTCCACTGGACCTCTGTGAGAAAGAGCCTCAGAGCTCATCAGATTCCTCCCGCAGTCTAAACAAAGATTCGGATGTCTACGTGTGCGCATGTCACCACGCATCTCTGTGTTCGTGCGCGTCTGTGTGTGCGCGTGCGTGCGTGTCTCTACGTGTCTGTGCGTGCGTCCACGGGTGTGTGTGTGCGCGTGCGTGCGCGTGCGAATGTGCGCGTGCGAATGTGCGCGTGTGTGCACCCACGCGGGCCCTACGCACTCACACAGCCCCGCACGCCCACACTTCTCACACTTCTCCGTTTGACAACCGTCGCTGCCACCGCCGTCCTCCGACCGCTCCTGGAATCAAACCGCGTCGACTCAGCAATCGGGAGCGAGCCTCTCGCGAGACGGTGGAGTCTGGCTCGCCTTCGCGTGGCTCGGGGGGGGGGGGGGGGTAACGGTGAGACGCGGACAGGACCGTCACCATCATCATCATCATCACGACAAAGCCTGCAGCCTCCCACGTCCCATCATCGATGCTGTCTGCACCATGCATAATCACTCGCTCGCACACTCGCCCACACGCATCGACGCTCATCATGTACATAACGAGTGTGCAGTGAGCACCACACGAGCACAACAGGTGAACAAGAAGTGACAAGGGGGGGCAGCTCGGCGTCTGGGGTGTGTGGGGGGGGGGGGCTCTGGGCCCCCGAGGGATGGCTTCAGAGGCAGGGGCCACATTGTGTAGAGGCAGGGTGAGGGTTAGTGGTGGCGCCTGAGGCCGATTGGCCAGTGTGTTTCAGGGTTAACGCTCTGGGCTACAAGTCTGGCTGGGCAATGTGGCTGGGGTTAGAGGTAACCACCGTGACGGGTTGCGGACAATGTTTTGCTTCCCCTCGACCCCCACCCCTCCCCCCAATCGCCAAGCAGGGGGTAGTGGTAGGGGGGAAGGGGGAAGCAGGCACCCCCCCTGGACCGGCCCCCCCTTCTCACTCCTTATTCGAGCGAGCGCTCAGCACCACCACGTACCTACTACCGCACTGGGGTCGAACGGGTACTCGAGGATGGATGCGCCGGGGTGCGCCAGGGGGTACGAGTACTCGTACGGGGTGTAGATGAGGCCGCCGCCGCCGCCGCCGCCGTCGCCCGGCGAGGGCACCAGGCCCGCGGGGGGGGCCCCTTGGAAGGGCCGCATGAGCGGCATGAGGGCGGCGGCGGCCGCGGCCGAGGCGGCCGGCGTGGCGGGGGGCGGGGCGTTGGGCCCCCCGGCCTGGGCCGTGCGGAGCGCCGCGGCCGTCATGACGCTCCCGGGGGGCGGGGGAGGCCCCGCGATGAGGCGCGGGGACGGGGCCTGCGCCGCTGCAAGAGAGAAGCCCAGCATGGCCTCTGTGAGGCCGCGGGGGGGGGGGGGGGAGGTGGGGGGAGGGGTGGGGGGTGAGATGTTGGGGGGAGGGGAATGGGGGGGTGAGATGTTGGGGGGAGGGGAATGGGGGGGTGAGATGTTGGGGGGAGGGGTATGGGGGGGTGAGATGTTGGGGGGAGGGGAATGGGGGGGGGGGTGCTGGCAGCATGTGGGTGAGACAGCGCCGTGGGCAGTGGGGGTGGTGGTGGTGGCGTGGGGGTGGCGTGGGGGTGGTGGCGTGGGGGTGGTGGCGTGGGGGTGGTGGCATGGGGGTGGTGGCGTGGGGGTGGTGGCGTGGGGGTGGTGGCGTGGGGGTGGTGGCGTGGGGATGGTGACATGGGGGTGGTGGCGTTGGCGTTCGTGGTTCCGTTATAATTGAGAATCGCGGCGAGATAAGGCGGTCAAGGGTCACGGTCGGGTGTTGGGTTATGATGGAGGTTTTCGGGTTGTTTAGGGTGAGGGTTGGTGAGGGTTGGTGAAGAGGGTTGGTGAGGGTAGGTGAGTGTTGGTGAGGGTTGGTGGGTGAGGGTTGGTGAGGAGGGTTGGTGAGGGTAGGTGAGTGTTGGTGAGGGTTGGTGAGGATGGTTGGTGAGTGATGGTTGTCGTTGTGACCACGGGCGAGCGGGGCAGAGCCACGCGGAACGTTGGCACGGATGCGGTGATGTTAGCAGGCAGCAGGGAGGGGGGTGAGGTGGGAGGGGAGTGAGGTGGAGGGGGGGTGTATGGAGTGGGGGGGATAAAACAGAGAAATAAAAACGAATAAATTAAAAGGTGAGCGGCGAGAGGAGAGAAAGGCCGCATGCAGGCTCCGCGACGCGACCGCCCACTCCTCAACGAGGCCCAGGGCAAAGTTCACGCTGCAGGCGGAACAATAATCAACACACAAACTCATCAACACACAAACTCAACAACACATAAACTCATCAACACACAAACACATCAACACACAAACTCAACAACACACAAACTAAACAACACACAAACTCAACAACACACAAACATATCAACACACAAACTCATCAACACACAAACTCAACAACACACAAACTCATCAACACACAAACTCAACAACACACAAAATCAACAACGGTGGGGGCAGTGGGGGCAGTGGGGGGGGGGGGGGGTCAGCAGAGGGCGCACTGGGACCACCACGGACCCTGCATCTCACAGCCCTCCTCACCGCGCGCTGATGCCAACCACTTGGGGGTTATCACAGCGCGGTGTTCTCACTACTTTTACGAGAGGGGGGCGTCACTTTCGCCGACAAGACATCATCAGTGCGAGAGCCGCCACTCGCCCTGCAAGGGCTGTTGTCACTCTGTGTGGTTTGTCGGGGGCCGCTCTAAATGCCACCTGTCACCACCAGTGGCCCGCGAGCTTTGCGATAAAGAACACTGCTCCGTATTATTATTATTGTTGTTGTTGTTGTCATCCCTACTTGTTTACACAGCAGCTGAAGCCTCGCTAAGTCTCAATCCTGGCTAAGCCCTGCACAGATTCCGCAGTGGCGGTGGGGAGGGGAGGGGACGGGGGCGATATTTGTTACACGGATTCCAGCGGAGCGACGCACGGAGCGCGCCGAGGGCCGCGCGAGGCTCGCCGCTACTCACGGCGAGCCGCGTGCCGCCGTGTCGCAGCCGACCCAGACGTCGCGGCAGCAGGATAATCCCGCGGGTAGCGGTGATATTAGCGTGAGGCTTTGTCCCCCAATCCACACTAATCGCCCCCCCTACCCCAAGCCCACCTCACCACCCCCCTCCCCCCCGCGGTGTGTGTGGCGCCACACGGCGCTGGCACAGTTTTAGTTTTACAGCGTTCGGTGTAAAACGAGGATTTATGCGCGACCACTGGAGAAATGGTGAGAGTGGTTGTGGAGGGGGTGGAGGTTGGGGGGTGGGGGGTGGGGGGGGTGGAGGGGTGGGGGGTGGAGGGGTGGGGGAGGAGGGTGGGTGGTGGAGGGGTTGGGGGGTTGAGGGGTGGGGGGAGTGGGGGGGGGTATTTGGGAGTGGGGAGCAGCAGGGAGGCGCGTGGCTCAAGGCTCACGAATCGCAAACGATCGTCGTGGCGTGAGGAAGATTCCGTCGTTGAGCGGAGGATTTCAACACCGTGGGTGGGAGGTGGGTGGGAGGTAGGGAGGGGAGGAGGTGGTGGGAGGGGGAAGTGGGGGGGGGGGGGGGCTTGGGCGGGGGGGTAGCGGTGGTGAATCAGATAATTGGCAATTAGCGCCGTCAGCGACGATCTGGGCTCGCGAGCTCTAACGGAGCCCATTGCGGTGCTGGGAGAGGGATCGTGCGAGCGCGCCCCGTGCTGATGACTTGGCATGGCCGCTCCCCAGACGCTCTGGCGCGACGCCACTAACGGGAGTGTTGCGTTGACACGAGAGAATGTTTGTGTTTGACGCGGGTGGGTGGGCAGCCAAGGGGGGTGTAGGGAGACGGTGGGGGGCGGGGGGGGGGGGGGGGGCGGGGGAATTTAGGGGGCACTCACGTGATTTGGAGTTGCCGTCCCGGTAGGTGCCGTTGATGATGGCAAGCTCCATGAGCTGCATCTTCTTCAAGTTGTCCTCGCCCTCCGCCTGCGCGACACAAAGACGCGATCAGCACCACAGACAGCGCCCTTCGCCACCCTCACCCTGATCGTGTCAGTACCACGGACAGCGCCCATCGCCACCCTCACCCTGAGCGTGTCAGTACCACGGACAGCGCCCATCGCCACCCTCACCCTGAACGTGTCAGTACCACGGACAGCGCCCATCGCCTGCCTCACCCTGAGCGTGTCAGTACCACGGACAGCGCCCATCGCCTGCCTCACCCTGAGCGTGTCAGTACCACGGACAGCGCCCATCGCCTGCCTCACCCTGATCGTGTCAGTACCACGGACAGCGCCCATCGCCACCCTCACCCTGAGCGTGTCAGTACCACGGACAGCGCCCATCGCCTGCCTCACCCTGAGCGTGTCAGTACCACGGACAGCGCCCATCGCCTGCCTCACCCTGATCGTGTCAGTGCTACGGACAGCGCCCATCGCCACCCTCACCCTGATCGTGTCAGCACCACGGACAGCGCCCATCGCCACCCTCACCCTGATCGTGTCAGCACCACGGACAGCGCCCATCGCCACCCTCACCCTGAGCGTGTCAGTACCACGGACAGCGCCCATCGCCACCCTCACCCTGAGCGTGTCAGTACCACGGACAGCGCCCATCGCCTGCCTCACCCTCAGAACGTGTCAGTACCACGGACAGCGCCCATCGCCTGCCTCACCCTGAGCGTGTCAGCACCACGGACAGCACCCATCGCCTGCCTCACCCTCAGAACGTGTCAGCACCACGGACAGCGACCATAATCTCTGGGTACTGAATGCATCAGTACAATGGGTAGCGGCCATAACTCCCTAGACACCGAGGGCTATAATAGCACCACGGACGGGCGACAGCGACATCTCCCCGCACAGACGGCGTTAGCAGCGTGGTCAGTGACCATAACTCCGTGCGGACTGAGGGTTGTGGCAACAACGCTGTCCATGCTGAGGCTGTCGGCACTCGGCTCGATAGACAGCAGCCGACCTCACGCACCGCTGCAAAGCTCGCCTGCACCACAGACAGTGCCTGAACATTGCATGAGCACTGTGACCCAGGCTACCTTAGTCTATACCTTTACAGGAATACCCTCCACACATTCTATACACAGGCACTAACCCTAACCCGTATGCATTACTTAGAAACACACAAATTTCTGATGTGTGTGGGGATAGAGTGTTGCCCCCTCGCATCAGGCGTAAGGTTTTCTCTGGGTGTTCCACTTTTCGCCTCCCGCGTGTATAATGAACACTCATTCTATGGCTGAAAACTTCTGAAGATAGAAACCCAATGTAGCAGTAAGGACCCTCCTGAAAAAGCGTCATACGAATCAGTGTGGCTCTCCTGGATACATAAGCAAATAAAAAAATATTTGTAAATTTTTATCCCGACCCTCGCTTTCCTGGAAATCACAGACACACGCACAACAAATCCGTCATGACCACCGCATTGCTCGCGCGCAGCCTGTGACTGACTCCTGCTTTCGACCCCGAACCCGACCCCCTAACCCCACAAACAAACACAAAACAAACACAGCGAGCCTTTGTCGATTCACGTGGCGTGTTTATGACTCACGAAGACGCCGCCGTGAGACTTAGGCGCCCACGTCAGCGAATTTGAGAATTAATACGAAGTGGTGGAGCCCACACAATGGTCTCCACCCCTCCCCTTCCCTCCCCACCTCCCCCCCTTTGTAGCGCTAACCGCGTGGTTACGAGGGGGCCACGCGGCTGAGAGGTCCCCTGAGTGATGCACGGGTTCGGCTTAACCAAGAGGAACCTCGCTCAGCGGCGTTTATGGGACATGCTGACGTAGCGCATACGGTGGCGCTCCAGTGCGGTGGGTGGACCACAAGCGATTATGGATGGGGGCCCTCGCAAGATTTAGGGCCGGCCAGGGTGGGAGGGGGGAGAGGAAGATTACAGCCGCAGCAGCCACACCACCCACACAATACTGTACAACACACAAACACACACACAACCACACACACAACACTGTCCACTACACAACCACACACACAATACTGTCCACCACACACACACAACACTGTACACCACACAACCACACACACAATACTATCCATCACACAAACACTCACACAATAGTAGCCACAACACAAACACCCGCACAATACTATCCACCACACCATCACACAATCACCCACACCACCACACAACCACCCGCCCTATAATATCCACTACACCACCACACAACCACTCATGCCACAACACAGCCACCCACACCACACTATCCACAACCCCACCTCACTCCACGCCACCTCAAATAATGTAATTCAATGCACGGATGTAGGAGGCACTTTGTACGATTGAATCTGCCATGGTAAATGTTGGAGGGTTAGACTCTGTACAAGAGACAATTAAGGTGAGACTCCTACGCAATGAGATTTTTTTTTTCTTTAATGAAATGATTTTTTAATTTTACGAATGCTCAGCAGAAACGTGCTCCCCTCGGGAGCAATTCACGTGATGCATTAATTAGAGAGAGAGAGAGATGGGGGAATGCCCTGAGCAGGGTTGCTCAGCTACCCGTGTACAGCCTCCCTGTGCCCCCCCTCTCCCCCCACGTACAACCCCTCTAAGCCCCCGCCCCCCACAACGTAGTGCCCCCCACGGCACCCACAAAGACGGTGGTGGTCACTGAATTGCGCGGCGCTTTCAGACGCGCTTCTGCGGCCGTCTGGAACGCTCTTCCTGCCGATATTAGGACGCAACTCTAGCTATGGGGCTGTTAAATCATCATCTATATTGACGTACGCTGTGAAAGAAATTCAACATACAGTACACACAACACCGTCTTCGATACTAACCGTATGACTACTTCAGCTGAACCCTCCCGTAAGTCACGTGACTCTAGTGCCCCCCCCCCCAATCGGAGACCCCTCCCCTCTTCCCACCCCCTGTCAAAACAGACGATGATCAATAGTCAACGGTCACTCACCCCCCCCCCAACTCCAGCACCGCTCACCCTCAAGCGAGTACCTGGTGCTGTGTGAAAGCACACATCTGCAACGGGGGAGACAAAGGCGGCCGGGAGCGCTTGCTGGACACTCCCCGTCCCCCACCAAGGATCGTGGGCCATCGTTGACCTGCATGGATGTGCTACTCACGAACTGCACTTGCCCCGACAGCCCGTTGAAGGCTATACGGGGGATCTTTGTCTGTGTGCGTGCTCACGGCGGGGAGCAGCGGTGCAACGGTTAGCGCGCTACGGCGACCCGGGTTCGATTCGTGCTCACGGTCACGGACCACCAGTGACGATTGTCTGAACCGTTTCTGGGCTACCCCTAGGTCGGCTCAGCCTCAAATGAGTACCTGGTGCGGTGTGTCAAATTATCGGCACTGGGGGGGGGGGGGCGGGGGACAAATGCGGCCGGGCGTGGTGCCGGCCACCCACCCCCTCGTGTTGCCGTGCCGGCCTTCGTAGGTGCTGCTCGCTAACAGCACTTGCCCCAACTGTCTGCCACAGGCTATACGGGGGACCTTTGTGGTGTCTGTGTTCTCACCGCGGGCACGAGCAGCTTCTTGAGCTCGGCGACGGCGCGCTGGAGCTTGGCGTCGGCGCGGTTCTGAGTGTCCTCCACCGTGACCAGCACGTGCAGCTCCTCGCTCAGGTGCTCCCAGTTGGGCTTGCCGCGGTTCTGCTCCTCCTGCGCGCGGCGCACACAGGCAAAGAGCCCCGTGTAGTCTTAACAGGCGGTAGGGGCAAGTGCGGTTAGCGAGCAAACACACACACACCGACACATACACACAAAGACATATAGACACACACACCGACACACACACAAAGACATATAGACACACACATACCGACACACACATATAGACATACACACCGACACACCGATAGACACGCACATAGACATATAGACACACACAAAGACAAAGATATCCCGTATTGTCTCAGCAGACTGTTGTTGGGACAAGTGCTGTTAGCGAGCAAACACACACACAAAGATCCCCCGAATAGCCTTAACGGGCTGTAGGGGCAAGTGCTGTTAGCGAGCACCTATGAAGGCCGGCACGGCACACGAGGGGGTGGGTGGCCAGCACCACGCCCGACCGCCTTTGTCTCCCCAGTGGCAATGAATTTGCACACTGTCACCAGATACTCATTTGAGGCTGAGTCGATCTAGGGGAGGCCCAGGACCGGTTCAGATAATCATCACTGGCGGAGGCCGTGAGCGGGAATTGAACTCGGGTCGCTGGGTTTGTGGTACACAATTCGCTAACCACTACACCGCTGCTCTCCACACACACAGACAAAAGACAAAAACACACACTCAGACACACAGACACACACACCGACTCACACGCCCAGCCGCGCGCACGTACGCTTCATGTGACAGCCGCGCGCGTCGCTGTGCTCTCAAACCTGTCTCTGCCGCTGCTCAACCCGTCCCACGCGAGAGAGAGAGAGAGAGAGGAGAGATGGATAGAGATAGGGAGAGAGAGAGAGATCAGAGAGAAGAGAGAGACTTTTGACTTTTAGACAAGTTTTATTGCCGCCAGCAGCAAAAGCACTGGAGGCGATTTCGATTTGAAACACAAAAAAATATCACCAGCAAACAAATGAAAATTAATGCTACAAATCGACGCGCTGTGGCGCTGAAAGCACCGCGCACAACACAATAGAAAAGTCACGTGGTGGTGGTGGTGGTCATCGCGCACGCCACGGTGACGAGCGAGCGCTTCAGAAGGTGAACACCACGAGGGTGCCGTCCACGCTGGTGCAGAGAGGGGCTTTTCCGGCTCCCCAGCGTTCGAAGAAGACGTAAGAGAGAGAGGGGAGAGAGAGGAGAGAGATACGGAAGAGAGAGGGGAGAGAGAGGGGAGAGAGACGGGAGGGAGAGAGAGGGGAGAGAGACGGGAGAGAGAGACGGGAGGTAGCGCGATATTTGATTAAGCGCGGCGCGTTCTCAAGAGAGGTGGATAAAACCTCGGGTCTAATTTGCCCCTCGCTCTCCCTCGCTCTGTCTCACACAAAGACAAAGCCCCCCTGCGTAGTCTTCAAAGGCTGTTGGGGCAAGTGCTGTTAGCGAGCACCTATGAAGGCCGAACAGATAGCACTCACACGCACACACACATAACACGCACACACAGATACATGTACCCACGCCCAAACACCCAGATGCCTTCTACTCACACCCAGACACATACCCATTGCACCCTGACACTCACACACACACCCAGACACATACCCATTGCACCCTGACACTCACACCCATACACCCAGACACATACCCATTGCACCCTGACATAAACACACATACACCCAGACACATACCCATTGCACCCTGACACTCACACACACACCCAGACACATACCCATTGCACCCTGACACACACCCCCATACACCCAGACACATACCCATTGCACCCTGACACACACACCCAGACACCCAGACACATACCCATTGCACCCTGACACACACACCCATACACCCAGACACATACCCATTGCACCCTGACACACACACCCAGACACCCAGACACATACCCATTGCACCCTGACACACACACCCATACACCCAGACACATACCCATTGCACCCTGACACACACACCCATACACCCAGACACGTACCCATTGCACCCTGACACTCACACACATACACCCAGACACATACCCATTGCACCCTGACATACACACCCATACACCCAGACACATACCCATTGCACCCTGACACTCACACCCATACACCCAGACACATACCCATTGCACCCTGACACACACCCCCATACACCCAGACACATACCCATTGCACCCTGACACACACACCCAGACACCCAGACACATACCCATTGCACCCTGACACACACACCCATACACCCAGACACATACCCATTGCACCCTGACACACACACCCATACACCCAGACACATACCCATTGCACCCTGACACTCACACATACACCCAGACACATACCCATTGCACCCTGACACTCACACACATACACCCAGACACATACCCATTGCACCCTCACACTCACACCCATACACCCAGACACATACCCATTGCACCCTGACACACACACCCATACACCCAGACACAGCCATCAGACCCTGACAGTCACACCCATACACCCAGACACATACCCATTGCACCCTGACACACACACCCATACACCCAGACACACACCCATCAAACCCTGACACACACACATACACCCAGACACACACCCATCAGACCCTGACACTCACACCCATACACCCAGACACATACCCATTGCACCCTGATACACACACACATATACCCAGACACATACCCATTGCACCCTGACACATACACACATACACCCAGACACATACCCATTGCACCCTGACACTCACACCCATACACCCATACACCCAGACACATACCCATTGCACCCTGACACACACACCCATACACCCAGACACATACCCATTGCACCCTGACACTCACACATACACCCAGACACATACCCATTGCACCCTGACACTCACACACATACACCCAGACACATACCCATTGCACCCTCACACTCACACCCATACACCCAGACACATACCCATTGCACCCTGACACACACACCCATACACCCAGACACAGCCATCAGACCCTGACAGCCACACCCATACACCCAGACACATACCCATTGCACCCTGACACACACACCCATACACCCAGACACACACCCATCAAACCCTGACACACACCCATACACCCAGACACACACCCATCAGGCCCTGACACTCACACCCATACACCCAGACACACACCCATCAGGCCCTGACACACACACCTATACACCCAGACACACACCCATCAGGCCCTGACACTCACACCCATACACCCATACACAGCCATCAGACCCTGACACTCACACCCATACACCCAGACACAGCCATCAGACCCTGACACACACACCCATACACCCAGACACAGCCATCAGACCCTGACACACACACCTATACACCCAGACACACACCCATCAGACCCTGACACTCACACCCATACACCCAGACACAGCCATCAGACCCTGACACACACACCCATACACCCAGACACACACCCATCAGACCCTGACACTCACACCCAGATGCATTCTACTCACACCCAGGACACCGCGAGCCTCCCCTAAACACCAAACCCCGTGGTATTAAATGTGTATGAGACCCTTTCCGCAGCGCTGCGGGGAGAGGCGACGGCTAATGGGCAATTTACACCGAGACTCGGAGCCTTCTAACCGGGCCCTTTGATGCACGGGTCACACAGTCACCACCACCACCACAACCACCACCACCACCGTCTCTGCTGCTGGAGCGGGCGTCTTGATTAGCCGTCAGAGCAGCGATCTCGCTCCAAATTAATTATTCAGCTAAAGAAAATTCCAGAATGGCCATTATGCGAAATGCATGCGTCTCTAAGTGGAGCGGTGTGTGGGTGTGTATCTGTGTCTATGAAGATAAAGATACATATCTCCCGTGTAGCCTTAACAGACTGTAGGGGCAAGAGCTGCGAGCGAGTGCCTATGAAGGCCAGCACGGCACACGAGGGGGTGGGTGATCGGCACTACGCCCGACCGCCTTTGTCTCCCCAGTGGCGATATTTACACACCGCACCGGGTACTCATTTGAGGCTGAGTCGACCTAGGGGAGGCCCAGGACCGGTTCAGAAAATCGTCACTGGTGTTGGCAGTGAGCGGCAATCGAACCCGGGTCGCCAGGTTCGTAGCGCAGCGTGCTAACCGCTACACTACCGCTCCACACACACACTCACACACACACTCTCTCACTCACACACACTCACTCACACACTCACACACCCACTCACTCACACACTCACTCACACTCACACACCCACTCACTCACACAACAACAACAACCGCCATTCGCCACTAAGTGGCGGTGACGTCACCATGACGCTTGTGCCAGGCCATGTGCACCTTGAGGCATCGTGAAGTGTCGAACGCCCGCTGGCAGGAGGTTACGGGGCAAACCCAGGTGCCACGGGTCGATTAACTGAGATGAGTGGCTGATGCACCACCTGTGCCCCCTACTGTGCCAACTGGCTGTGCTTTAGACACCCGGCGCTCCGCTCGTTGTTGTGAGCGTCGCTCCTCCGCCCTCCGTTGTTGTTGGAGGGCGACTGCCTCCAACTGCCCAGTAGCGTCCTTCACGAGCCTCCTCCACAGAGGCCGATCTTGACACCGCTGGTACCAGTCATCGGCAAGTCCATTCAGCTCCGCTACCTCCTGTACCACGTCACTCCATCTCTTCTCTAGCCCGTGCCGCGCCCGTTTAGCCCCCTCGATCCGGCCGAACAAAAACTGTTTAGGAATGCGGTGGCTGGGCATGCGGGCTACATGACCCAGCCAACGCAGCCTTGCCTGCCGGAGGAGCTCACCGATGGGACTTTGCCCAAATCTTTCAAGGATTTGTGAGCTCCTCACACAATCCAGCCTGGTTAAACCCAGGATGGATCGTAGGCAGGCCAGCCACACAACAACAACAACAACCGCCATTCGCCACTAAGTGGCGGTGACGTCACCACGATGCTTGTGCCAGGCCAAGTGCACCTTGAGGCCACGTGAAGTGTCGAACGCCCGCTGGCAGGCGGTCACGGGGCAGACCCAGGTGCCACGGGTCGACTGACCGAGATGACCGAGATGACTGGCTGATGCACCACCTGTGCCCCCTACTGTACCAACTTGCTGTGCTTTAGCCACCCGGCGCTCCGCTCGTTGTTGTGAGCATCGCTCCTCCGCCCTCCGTTGTTGTTGGAGGGCGACTGCCTCCAACTGCCCAGTAGCGTCCTTCACGAGCCTCCTCCACTGAGGCCGATCTTGACACCGCTGGTATCAGTCATCGGCAAGTCCACTCAGCTCCACGTCCTCCTGTACCACATCACTCCATCTCTTCTCTAGCCCGTGCCGCGCCCATCTAGCCCCCTCGATCCGGCCGAACAAAAGCTGTTTAGGCATGCGGTGGCTGGGCATGCGGGCTACATGACCCAGCCAACGCAGCCTTGCCTGCCGGAGGAGCTCACTGATGGGACTTTGTCCAGATCTTTCAAGGATTTGTGAGCTCCTCACACAATCCAGCCTGGTTAAACCCAGGATGGATCGTAGGCAGGCCAGCCTAAATGTTTCCAACCGGCGAAGATGCTCCACTAGGGGGGTCCACGTTTCGCAAGCGTAGAGAAGGGAGGGAATGACCGTGGCCGAGAAGACCTGAAGCTTCGTGCGGAGCGACAGACCAGGTAGCTTCCACACAGCGTTACGCAACCGATGAAAAGATATTGCCGCTCGACTGATTCGGAGTGAGCCAGCCACACACACACTCACTCACACACACTCACTCACACTCACTCACACTCTCTCACACTCACACACTCTCACACTCTCACATACTCTTACACACTCACACACACTCACACACACTCTCACACCCACTCACTCACACACTCTCACACTCACTCACTCACTCATACACGCACACACTCTCACACACACACTCACACACTCACACACACTCACACACACTCACCCACTCACTCACTCTCACACACTCGCACACACTCACACACACTCACACACTCTCACACACTCTCACACACTCTCACACACACACTCACACACTCTCACACACTCGCACACACTCGCACACACTCACACACTCACACACACTCACACAATCTCACACACTCTCACACACTCACACACACACTCACACACACTCACACACTCACACCACACGGAAGCGCCTTCAACTATTCTCTGTTGGCAATCGCCGCCAGGGCGAGGGCCGCCGCCAAATCCCTCTCAGTGCCCCGGCTACGGCTCACAGTCTTCAATTTTTCATTTTTTAAATCTCCACCTTCCAACAAAACTTCTCTAAATCCAGATAAACATTCACTCACACAGCCGCGTCTGCCAGCCCGAAACCCCCGGCAAAGAGAGAGAGGGGTGGGGGTGATGGGGTCTGTGTGGTGATGGGGGGGGGGGTGAGGGGGGGGGGGCAACCCTGCCGCGTCCGTCAAAATGCTCGGGCTGTGACGAGGGGAAAATGCCACGCGGGCTACAATAACGCCGCTCCGCTGTCAATCACGGGGCCTCCTCCACCTCCTCCTCCTCCACCTCCTCCTCTATCTCCTCCTGATCCTTCTCGCCGCGCTGTCCCGAGTGCTGGTTCAAGACCTCGGGCCACGTGTCTCGCACGAGTGCCAGCGAGCGAGGGAGGGGAGGGAGGCGAGGGAGGGGAGGGAGGGGAGGGAGGGGAGGGGGGAGGGAGGGAGGGAGGGGAGGGAGGCGAGGGAGGGGAGGGAGGCGAGGGAAGGGAGGGAGGGGAGGGAGGGGAGGGAGGGGAGGGAGGGGAGGGAGGGAGGCGAGGGAAGGGAGGGGAGGGAGGGGTGTGAGCGAGTCCGCGGCCCTCTCCGTCAACGAAGAGTCAGCCCAGTGGCGGGGAATCATCTCACTCTACTCCCCTCCACGCACTCTCCTGCCTCTCCCCTCTCATCTCACTCTACTCCCCTGTACGCACTCTCCTACCTCTCCCCTCTCATCTCACTCTACTCCCCTCCACGCACTCTCCTGCCTCTCCCCTCTCATCTCACTCTACTCCCCTCCACGCACTCTCCTGCCTCTCCCCTCTCATCTCACTCTCCTCCCCTCCACGCACTCCCCTACCTCCCCCCTCTCATCCCCCTCCACTCCCCTCTCATCCCACTCCACTCCCTCTCATCTCACTCCAATCCCCTCCACGCACTCCCCTACCTCTCCCCGCTCATCTCACTCTACTCCCCTCCACGCACTCTCCCACCTCTCCCCTCTCATCTCACTCTACTCCCCTCCACGCACTCTCCTACCTCTCCCCTCTCATCTCACTCTACTCCCCTCACGCACTCTCCTGCCTCTCCCCTCTCATCTCAACTCTACTCCCCTCCACGCACTCTCCTGCCTCTGCCCTCTCATCTCACTCTACTCCCCTCACGCACTCCCCTACCTCCCCCCTCTCATCCCCCTCCACTCCCCTCTCATCCCACTCCACTCCCCTCTCATCTCACTCCACTCCCCTCCACGCACTCCCCTACCTCTCCCCGCTCATCTCACTCTACTCCCCTCCACGCACTCTCCCACCTCTCCCCTCTCATCTCACTCTACTCCCCTCCACGCACTCTCCTACCTCTCCCCTCTCATCTCACTCTACTCCCCTCCACGCACTCCCCTGCCTCTCCCCTCTCATCTCACTCTCCTCCCCTCCACGCACTCTCCTGCCTCTCCCCTCTCATCTTACTCTACTCCCCTCCACGCACTCTCCTACCTCTGCCCTCTCATCTCACTCTACTCCCCTCCACGCACTCCCCTACCTCCCCCCTCTCATCTCACTCTACTCCCCTCCACACACTCTCCTGCCTCTCCCCTCTCATCTCACTCTACTCCCCTCCACGCACTCTCCTGCCTCTCCCCTCTCATCTCACTCTACTCCCCTCCACACACTCTCCTACCTCTCCCCTCTCATCTCACTTTACTCCCCTCCACGCACTCTCCTGCCTCTCCACTCTCATCTCACTCTACCCCCCTTCACAGTGATCACGATCTCCGTGATCTTTGCGCCCCGTGACCCCGTGATCCCGTGACCCCACGGCCCCCGTACCTTCTTGCGGTCCCGCATGGAGCTCTTGCCCCGAACCATGATCTTGCAGCCCGTCTCCGCCTCCAGCTGCTTCGCCGTGAGGCCGCGAGGTCCCAGGATCCTCCCCACGAAGTTGAACTGCAACGCAACGGGCAGGCCGCGTCAGACGAGTGCGGGCGTTCAACTGAGAAATTCACCATCTCGCTCGCTCGCTCGCTCACTCACTCACTGACTGGCTCGCTCACTCACTGGCTCACTCACTGACTCACTCACTCACTCACCGACTCACTCGCTCACTCACTCACTGGCTCACTCACTCACGGATGCAGTCCCTAACTCACCAACTCGCTCACTCACTCATTGACTCGCTCACTCACTGGCTCGCTCACTCATTGGCTCACTCACTCACGGATGCAGTCCCTAACTCACCGACTCACTCACTCACTCATGGATGCACTCACTCACTGATTCACTCACCGGCTCACTCACTCACTCATGGATGCACTCACTCACTCATTCACTCACCGGCTCAATCACTCACTCATGGATTCACTCACGCACTCACTAACTGATTCACTCACCGGCTCACTCACTCACTCATGGATGCACTCACTAACTGATTCACTCACCGGCTCACTCACTCACTCATGGATGCACTCACTCACTCATTCACTCACCGGCTCACGAACTCACGGATGCATTCCCTAACTCACCGACTCACTCACTCACTCATTGGCTCACTCACTCACTCACTCGCTCACTCGCTCACTGATTCACTCACCGTCCCCCGAGCTCACTGGACTCACTCACCAACTTCGACACGGGCATATTAGACTTTGCCATTCAACTTCTGCCACGGGAGTTGCTATGTGCACAGAGCTGCCCTCTTGCTCCGTGTTGACAGAGTGTGGGGGTGGGGGTGTGGGGGGGGTGAGATATTGCGATGTGATGAGCAGACGGGGGGGGTGGTCTGACCCCCCCTCATCCCCGATGTTTGCTCTGTGGGGGTTCAGAGGCCTCTGCCGGCCCCTTTGCCGGCCCCACGGAGGCGGCATTGGCTGTAATCCTCGCTTCGCCGGCACGGCACGACAACATCAAACACTGGGGGGGGGGGGGGGGGGGTGTCTCTGCACGACTCCTGAGGAACGGTGGCTGCCAAGTCTCCCTTCGTCTCCCTGTGTCTCCCTGTGTCTCCCTCCGTCTCCCTGTGTCTCCCTCCGTCTCCCTGTGTCTCCCTGTGTCTCCCTCCGTCTCCCTGTGTCTCCCTCCGTCTCCCTGTGTCTCCCTGTGTCTCCCTCCGTCTCCCTGTGTCTCCCTTCGTCTCCCTGTGTCTCCCTCCGTCTCCTGTGCTTTTCTGTGTCTCCCTCCATCTCCCGCCATCTCTAAAACCTCTCACACATCTCTAACACCTCTCCCATCATCTCCCACCGTCAGTCTCACCCCCCCCCCCGCCACTGCATAGGTGCTCGCTATCCACACGCCCCAACAGCCTATGTCGGCTATACGGGGGGGGCGGCGGGACCTTTGTCTTTGTGTGTGCACACGTGTGTGTGTGTGAGTGTCTATGTACTGCGTGTGTCATTGCGTCTGTGGGAGAGGTAGTAGTTGGCTGGGCTGCGCTACCATCATGCGGCAACCCGAGATCGATTCCAGCTCAGGGCCAACACCCAGTGATGATCATTACTTGAACCGGTCCTGGGCCTCCCCTAGGTCGACTGAGTACCTGGTGAGGTGTGTGGAACATCGCCGCTAGGGAGACAAAGGCGGCCGGGCGTGGTGCTGGTCACCCACCCCCTCGTGTGCTGTGCCAAGACACAAGGACAAATGCAAAGATTCCCCGTATAGCCTTAACAGACTGTTGGGGCAAGTGCTGTTAGCGAGCACCTGTGAAGGCCGACACGGCATGCAAGGGGGTGGGTGGCCAGCAGCACGCCCGGCCGCCTTTGTCTCCCTAGTAGCGATGTTTACACACCACACAACAGGTACTCATTTGAGGCTGAGTCGACCTAGGGGAGGGCCATGACCGGTTCAGATAATAATCGTCATCAATGTTGGCCGTGAGCGGGAATCGAACTCGGGTCGCTGGGTTCGTAGCGCAGCGCGCTAACCGCTACACACCCACTCTTCACACACACACACACCACCCCTACCCACATAGACCCACACACAAACCTACACACACACACCCCTACACACACACAGACCCCTACACACACACACCCCTACACACACACACCCCTACACACACACACCCCTACACACACACACACCTACACACACACATCTCCCTACACACACACACACACACTCTTACACACACACACACACTCCTACACACACACACACACACCTACACACACACACAACCATCAGCAGCAGCAGCCACGGGCAGAGACAACCGCCGTTGCGGGCGGCAGTTGCCGTGGAAACTGACATCCAGTTTCCATGGCACAGACAGCAGCCCCCTGCACCACTCCCTGCACCACCCCCCTGCACCACTCACTGCATCCTACCCCACCCACTGCACCACTCCCCGCGTCACTCCCCCCCCTCCCTGTACCACTCCCTCAACTCCCCTTGCACCACTCACCTCTACCCCTGCACCACTCCCTCCACTTCCCTGCACCCACTCCTGCCCCAATACCATGCACCCACTCCTGCACCACTCCCTTCACTCCCTGCACCACTCCCTGCACCACTCCCTGCACCAACTCCCTCCACTCACCTGCACCACTCCCTGCACTACTCCCTGCACCACCTCCCTGCACACACTCCCTCACTCCCGTGTAACCACTCCCTGCACCACTCCCTGCAACCACTCCCTGCACCACCTCCCTGCCACCACTCCCGTCACTCCACTTGCCACACTCCCTGCACCTACTCCCTGCACCACTCCCTCACTCCCTGCAACCACTCCCTGGCACACTCCCTGCACCACTCCCTGCACCACGTCCCTGCACCCACTCCCTCACTCCCTGCACCACTCCCTGCACCACTCCCTGCACCACTCCCTGCACCACTCCCTGCACCACTCCCCCACTCCCTGCACCATCCCTGCACCACTCCCTGCACCACTCCCCACTCCCTGCACACTCCCTGCACCACTCCCTGCACCACTCCCTCACTCCCTGCCCACTCCCTGCACCACTCCTGCACCACTCCCTCACACCTGCACCACTCCCTGCACCACTCCCTGCACCACTCCCTCACTCCCTGCACCACTCCCTGCACACTCCCTGCACCATCCTCCCACTCCCTGCACCACTCCCTTGCACCACTCCCTGCACCACACCCTCACTCCCTGCACCACCTCCCTCACTCCCTGCACTCCCTGCACCATCCCTGCACCACTCCTCACTCCCTGCACCACCCTCACTCCCTGCACCACTCCCTGCACCACCCCACTCCCTGCACCACTCCCTGACCACTCCCTGCACCACTCCCTCACTCCCTGCACCACTCCCTGCACCACTCCCTGTACCACCCTGCACCACCTCACTCCCTGCACCACTCCCTCACTCCCTGCACCACTCCCTCACTCCCTGCACCACTCCCTGCACCACTCCCCCCCTCCCTGCACCACTCCCTGCACCACTCCCTGCACCACTCCCTGCACCATCCCTCACTCCCTGCACCACTCTCACCCCCCTGCACACTCCCCACTGCACCACTCCCTGCACCACTCCTCCACTCCCTGCACCACTCCCTGCACCACTCCCTCACTCCCTGCACCACTCCTCCACCCCCTGCACCACTCCCTGCACCACTCCCCCACCCCTGCACCACTCCCTGCACCACTCCCTCACTCCCTGCACCACTCCTCCACCCCCTGCACCACTCCCTGCACCACTCCCTCACATCCCTGCCACTCCCCCACCCCCTGCACCACTCCCTGCACCTCCTCACTCCCTGCACCACTCCCTGCACCACTCCCGCACTCCTGCACCACTCCTCCACTCCCTGCACCCACTCCTGCACCACTCCTCCACTCCCGCAACCACTCCTCCACTCCCTGCACCACTCCCTCAATCCCTGCACCACACCCTGCACCACTCCCTCACTCCCGTGCACCACTCCCTGCACCACTCCCCCACTCCCTGCACCACTCCCTGCACCATCCCTGCACCACTCCCTGCACCACTCCCTGCCCCATCCCCCACTCCCGGCACCACCCTCCACTCCCTGCACCACTCCTCCACTCCCTGCACCACTCCCTGCACCCACTCCCTGCACCACTCCCCACTCCCTGCACCACTCCCTGCACCACTCCCTCACTCCTGCACCAATCTCACTCCTGCACCCACTCTCACTCC